GTCACCTAAAATTGAAAACAAATAAAATCAACAGCTGCCTCCTTTCCTATGACACTAGAAGAACTGAATGGTGCCTTGCTATCATTACTGGGCATTTGGATCAAAAATTCTATAGAGGAATACTGATCAAAAGAAGAAAAATGCAGAATAGAATTTCTAATTCCAGTGGCCTCTAGACTTTCTTGAGCAAAGAGAGTTAGAAGAACCCCTGAAATTGTTCCCCTGATAGAAACCTTTATCCTTAAACCAAAGTATTCCCTGAAGTCATCTGAAAACTGAACAGTAGTTTAGCTCAACTAGTAAAAATAGTTCTGCTTTGAGCATTCTGCCCTTTTATGTTGTTGTTGTTATATGCTGTTGAGTCAGACCCGACTCATAGCAACCCATCCTTGGGTTTCTGGGGTGGTATCACTATGGAAGTAGGTTGCCCAACCTTCCTTTCAAGGAGTGTCCTGGTAGGTTTGAACCACCAGCCTTCTAATTAGCAGTCAACTGTCTATATGGGACCAGATTGACAACAATAATGCAGAAGATTGGATAAGAACCTTAGAGGCTAGTGAGTTTACCTTAATGAAGGAGCAGAACAACTCAAAAAATAAAATATAGAAAAAGAAAATTGGCAAATAACTTGAATAGACATTTCTACAACGAAATTACATAATTACCACCAAGCAAATGAAAAGATGCTCAGTGTAGTTATTCATTACAGAAATGCAAATCAAAACCACAATGAGATAACCAATTCACATCTACTTAAGAAGGCTATTATCAGAAAAATAGAAACTAACAAATGTTGACAAAAATGTAGAGAAATTTGAACACTTTTCCATTGCTGGTGGAAAAGTAAAACATAGTAGCTGTTGTGGAAAACAGTTTGATGGTTCCTCAAACAGGTAAACTTAGAATTACCACATGACCCAGCAATTCTAATCCTAGGTATATGCCTAAAAGAAATGAAACCATGGACCCAGGTACTTGTACACCAATCTTCATAAAAGCATTATTCACAGTATCTAAAGATGGAAACAACTCAAGTGTCCATCAATAGTTGAGTGGATGAACAAAATGTAGCATGTACACATAATAAGATATTACTCAGCCATAAAGAGAAATGAAGTTCTGCTACATAGTTTGATAACGAATCCTAAGAATATTACGGTGAGTTAAAAAAATCAGACACAAAGGATGAATACCGTATGATCGCACTTATATGACACATCTACGATAAACAAGTGTGTAGAGCCAAAAGTTTATTGGTAGTTACCAGGCACTAAGGGAGGTTTAAGAATGTGGAGTTATTGCTGGAGTATAGAGTTTCTCTTTGGCGTGATGAAAGTGTTTGGAAATGGATGGTGGTAATGATTGCATAACATAATAAGCGTAATTAAGGTCATTGAATTGTGTGCTTAAAATTGTTAAAATGGCAAAATATTTTGTTATATATACATTCTCCCAAAATAAACATTTTTTAAAGGGTGAATTCTATCTCAGTAAAGTTGTTACAAGGAGCTCTGCTAGCATAGTGCCTAAGACACTTGACTGCTAACCAGAAGGCTGAGGGTTCAGACCCACCAGCCAGTCCTTGGAAAGAAGGTTGGGCAATGTACTTCTGTAGTGATACCGCCTTGGAAACCCAAGGAGGGGTTGCGATTAGTCAGGTTTGACTGGGTGGCATGTAACAATAACAACGAAGTTCTTACGTAAAGGAAATAAAACAAACCCATCTTTTTCCCTATCCCCATGTCCATTCTCTTCATTTTAATATTTAACAGAACTATTCAAGTCTTTAGGACTGAAACATAGATACCATTCATATTATTACTCTCTTTTTTATTATTATTATTATTATTTGTGTGAAAATTTACAGAGCAAATTCACTTTCCATACAGCGGTTCACATACGCTTTGTCTCATGACATTGACTACATTTTAGCACAATGCAACAACTTTCCTCCCAATAATTTACCTGTTCTCTGTGTCCATCCTGTATTATTCTTATGTATCAAAATAAAATAAAAATTTGGGTGACTGGTTTTCACCTCATAAATCCATTGATTTAACAACACAGTCATCATACTTATCAGAATGTAACTAATCATTTATTTGGTTGTCTGTCATTCCTGCTGAAGTATGAGCTTCTTGAGCACTATCTTATTTGTATCTCCCAAGCGCCTTACACAAAGAATTTGCTCAGGAAACGGGGTTGTTAAAGAGCACTTTGCTTACAGGGTCAAAGTACATTCATCTTGGCAATCCAAATCATCAAGAATTTGGGTCTTCCGCAACAGGAAACCCCTGGTTCCACACTGATTTTGTTTCCCTTCATCGTTCCAACTATTTGGTTGTGTTGATACTCCATACCTGAACTGTTCTCCCTATCCTACCCACCCACCTAAATACCACTCATTTTTCACGCCTGTCCCTAACCATACCTCTTTCATCTAGCTTTCCTATACAAGTAACACTGGACTTTGGCTTCTCCTAATTCACATATTACTTAATGCAAGTAATAAATCATTTAATCTTTTAATCATATTAATAATGATACTTTTGATATAACAATGCTGGGGGGGGAGACGCCAAGGGAGTTACACTCAATCGTGACTCAGCAATGCATATGTGTCAGAGTAGAACTCTTGGCCCTAGGCTCATTTTTTTGAGGGGGGAGGGAGGAACAGATCAAGAGGCCTTTCTTCTGAGGTACAACTGAGTGGACTCAAACCATCAGCCTTTCAGTGAGCTCAGCAGATAACCGTTTATACCACGCCAAGAACATAATAATAATAGCTATCATTTAATTGGAAATCTCTTACATACCAGGATCTTGGATATTCGGAGCTTATCTCAAATGGTCACATGCTCCCAAAGGTTCTAGTGGTGCTCCACGTTTTTCCATGAGAAGTAACTGAGACTTAGAGTTTAAATCAGTAAATTGCTCAAAATTATACAGGTCTGGAACTATGTCCTTCTTACACCAAAAATCCTTTGCTGTTTTAGATGTACCACAGTAGCTCTGTTCTTTCTCTCTCTCCAAATAGATCTCTTTGTGTGTATCTATTCTTCACCTTGTCAACCACATTTTATTTTTTACTTTTATGTGCTTTATTAGGGAAGTAACAGGTTACAATTGCGGTTAAGGAACACTCTCAGGATACAAATCTTTGATCAGGACAGTCTCCCCTGTGCTGTGCCCGCAGGCACACCTCTGTGGCTCTTGGCCTGCCTGGCCTCTGCCCTGCTCAGGCAAGTGTTACAAAGCTCTTTGAGCTCTGCTGATAGGTACACCTAGGTGTACCCCACTCGTTCCTTCTGGTTCCATGCCACTGTCTGTCTGCCTGGGAGGTCCAGTACAAGGATCTTGGGGGTCCAAGGAAGTGCTCCGCTCTGTTCCACTCCACTTCTGGCTCTTCTCTCTTGCTGACAGTGAGATCCCATGTCAGACACATTCTAATGATACTTAATGAATGTTTGTTGAATTGAGTTTGATAGAACTGGTAGAAGTATTGAAACTTACATACAGCTTTCATTTTGTATATATTTTTAAACTTTTTAGTGTGGTTTAGGTACAGAGCAAACTGATTTTCCATTCAATAATTCATACACATCTTGTTTTGTGACATTCATTTCAACCCCTATAATATAAGCACTCTTCCCACTTCCTCCTCGTTTTTGTTTCTACTTGTCTTCTTTTTTTTATCATTTCCTGCCTTCTCAGCTTTCTTTTTATTAGACACCACTCAGTATTTGTGTTGAATAACAAATAGGTGTAATTTTTATATATAATTTTTTGTACTTTTTTTTTTCCTGCTGATCTGTATGTCTGTATTATTCCATCCAACAACACACTGAATTACAGCTGCTTTAGATTAGCAGACTATTGTTTTTAGCTGCCATTGAGTTAGTTCCAATTTCATTGTGACTTTATTATGTACAACAGATCGAAACAGGGCTCATTCTGCACCATCCACACAATCATTTGTGTGCTTGAGCACTTCATTAGGGTCTTCCTCTTTTTTGCTGACCCTCTACTTTTTACCAAGCTTGATATCCTCCTGGGACAGCTGTTCCCTCGGGATAACATGTCCAAAGTATGTAAGGTGAAATACCACCATCCTTGCTTCTAAGGAACATTCTGCCTGTACTTCTTCCAAGACAGATTTATTTATTCTTCTGGCAGTCATTTGTAAATTTACTCTACTGAGCTTTATCCCTGAGCAAATGCGGCCTTTTAGTCCCATATGATGGGTAATCGTAAATAGTGAGTACTTCCCTGGCTGAAAGTTGAGCCATGGTGGTAAGTTTCTTTTTTGGCTTGAAGGGTGTCTAAGAGAGCCATAGTCTTGTGGTTCTACCAGTGTTGGTAATCCTGGTCTTTCATATTATTTGAGTTTTGTTCTACATTTTTCTCACACTTTATCCAGGTCCTACTGTCGTAATCCCTTTCAGAGCAATGGGCAGTCGTACTGGGCTACCATCTAGTTCCTCTGAGCTCAGTGTCAGGGAGGCTGAGGTTCACGTGTTCCGTTAGTACATTGGACTAAAACTTTTCATGCTGCTTTGATATTCTTCACGCTTCTTTTCTTTAGGAAGATAGAGACCAAAGGCTTCACCTTAGGTGGATATTTGCAAGCTTTTTTTTTTTTCCCATTGTAATTCCTTGTTAAAAGTTGTGAGGTCTTCCCCCCCTTTTTTTCTTTTTTCGCCATTTTCCATTACTTTGATGAAAATGCTGGTAAATTTGGCATTAAACCAACATCTGATCATCTCTTTGTTTAATTTAAAGTAGATATTTTAAAATATATACCATTTCTTTTAGCTGTATAATTTGGTAACAGGTATGTATTAGTATTTTTGGAAAGTCGAAGAGTAGCAAAATAAAAACGTTCCGAATTTTACTCGTTTTAGTAAAATTTTACTTAATATAAGCATCAAAAAGAATTTGTTTTGCAGATTTTTCTCTGAAACCTATTGTAATGTAGCCAATTGTGCAATGTTTTATAGTTCGAGATCGTGTTCGGACAAAAATGGAGCGTGATATCTTGGTAGAAGTTAATCATCCTTTTATTGTCAAGTTGCATTATGGTAAGTTCTTACCTCATTCCTTCACCTTTTAGCCCACTCCCTAATAGCATTCAGGTATAGTAATGTATGCAAACTTGTATTTGTTTATATCCATATGAGTTTAGCTGATACATGTAGTAAAGACAAAAATTAAAACATGACGTTTTAGGTAAACGTTGTTGTTGTTATGTGCCGTCGAGTTGGACCCAACTCATAGCGACCCCTCCTTGTGTTTCCGAGGTGGTATCACTATGGAAGTTGATTGCCCAACCTTCCTTCCAAAGAGTGGCTGGTGGGTTTGAACCACCAGCCTTCTGATTAGCAGTCAAGTGCCATAAGGCACTGAGCCACCAGAGCTCCTGTCTATATAATGCCTACTAACTAAACACATTAAAAACTTCTAAGATAATAAAATAAAACAAACAAAAGATAATAATAAGATAAACATTAGAAGGTTTTATCCTATCTGTAAGTATGAGGGAGCTCTGGTGGCATAGCGCCTAAGGCATTTGACTGCTAACCAGAAGGCTGGCGGTTCAGACCTACCACCCACTCCTCAGAAGTTAGGTTAGGCAATCTACTTCCGTAGTGATATTGCCTCAGAAACCCAAGGAGGGGTCTCTACGTGTCAGATTCAACTCGACAGCAGTGAGTTGTTTTTTTTATATCGATAATGCTATATAATTATATAGATATTTTCTGAGTGGTAGCCAGCCATAGGAACAGGTAGTAATAATCATTACATTTTTGTTAATAATTATGTACCAGTATTTTAATACTCCAAATATAGTAGCGCAACTTAAAAGCAAGAAAGATCCCTATTGCCAAGAGAAAAGTCCTGCAACTGTTGCCCACCTTTCTTTCCCCAAAAGCCACTTTTTTCCCCCCAGTGGGTAAAGGCATAATGATTCTTAGTATGTGTCATTAAATCTAACCAATCCACATTTTTTGGTTGGTGTGGTAGTTTTTATATCTTATTCCATGATTAAGTCAGTCTTTTCTGTTGGGAGTTTTTTTCATTGGTCACATGTTTTCAGAATTATTGTATTCTTGAGAGACTCTTGCCCAAAGAAAAATTTGACAGATGTTCTAATGGTTCCATAATAAGAAACACTGCATTTTACATTTCCACTTAGAAACTAAGGGAAATCAGTGGGTTTCCTCTAAATAAAAATAACTTTATATCCATAATATAATCAGTTATTTACTAAAAATTTTGTTTGTGAATGAGTTGACCCAAAGACTAAAACCATGAACTACAATGGATTAAATGGAAATTTTCATTTCTTCATTCAGCTTTTCAAACTGAAGGGAAGCTGTATCTTATTTTGGATTTTCTCAGGGGAGGAGATTTGTTTACACGCTTATCCAAAGAGGTATATAATTAATCTCTATTTTTCCTCTACTTATATCAATCCTATTCCAACTAAAGCTTTGTTATATTTCAATATTATGCTTACTGTATTTTCTCTAGCAGCACAAGATTCTTTCATTGAAGAATCAGAGCCAAAGAATGAGTTATTTTCCTAACTCTGAATTTATTCTGGAAGCTGGACTTTTGATTAAAAAATTAACTGTCTTTGCCTTAGCCCTGTTTCTTCTAGTTATAGTTTTCTCACCAAACAGTAATACAGGAAGTCCCAGGTTACAAATGTATAACTTATGGAAAACACCTACTTGCCCTTTAAAAGGGGTCTTCCAGCAGATTCCAAACTGTTCTGTCATGGCCAATGATGCAGAACAGGAATAGACTTAAAGTATGTACAGTTTCAATGATTTGTCTTAGGAACTGAAACAGGAAAAACTATGGGAATGGGAATAAATATTGGTTAAAGTCCTGGAATGGAAGACTTGGCAGAAATGTGTAGTGAGCTCTTTCAGGACCTGATGTGTGAATCATTTTGTTCATATGAATTTTCCCTCACTGTGAAATCATTAACCAACTCGCTACTTGCAACAAATTCTGCATCACAGTCACCTTAACTTGTTGCACCTGCAGCTTTTAAATCATTGAAATGGCTTTGAGCCTTTTCTTGCACTAAAATGTAATAGAGAGAACTCTGGTGACGCAGTAGTTAAAACTTTTGGTTGCTAACTGAAAGGTCCTCAGTATGAATCTACCAGCTGCTCTGGAAAAAAGGTGAGACAGTCTGCTTCCTTAAAGATTTACAGCCTTGGGATCCCTATGGAGCAGTTCTGCTCTGTCCTGTATGGTCACTGTGGGTTCCAGTGGACTTGATGGCAGTAAGTTTAAGGCTAAATAAGAATTGTGTGCACCTGTTCTGACTTAACCTCCAAATTCGACTTAAAGACACACTTTGAAGGAATCATAACCCAGGGACTACCTGTGGATTAGCAAGGTATACTAAAGAAGTAAATAATGGTGATTCACTGTGCATTTTAAATACCTTTTTGTTTCTAAAATACTACTTTGGTGGGACAACAGAGGCACTACCCAAATATAGTTGTTCCTTAACAAAATTTCAAATTATTTGTCCTACAATATGTAATTAGCATTTAATACATGGTTGGCAGATATTTTTTGAAATTTGCTCTTATAAGGAAATAGTGAAAGTGAAGTATAATTTAGCATATTTACAACATTTATCAATATTTAAATTTCAGAGTAGACCTTTAGATAAAAATCACAAATACAAAAAGAAAATAAAGCCAGAAAAAAATATTATTTTATTTTAGGTGATGTTCACAGAAGAAGATGTCAAATTCTACTTGGCTGAACTTGCACTTGCTTTAGACCATCTACATAGCCTGGGAATAATCTATAGAGACTTGAAACCAGAAAAGTAAGGAATCATTCTATTAAGTTGAATACAATATAATAATGATTGCAGAAGTTAATAAATTTCATAGAACTCTTACAACGATTGTATTAGAGTCAAGGCTTCAACCCCATTCATTCTGATTAGACCCTCTGCTGAGAATTTGCTTTCTGATTCAGTATATCTGGGGTAGAAAAGCAAATCCTCAGCAGGGTGTCCAACCATAATAAACCCTTTTGAAGCCCTGATTGGCATGCTTATGCCTCATACTTTAAATCTGTGAATTGAAAAAATGTCATCTTTTAATTTACAGTCTTTAATTTATAACCAACTAATGAGGTTAAAATCTATGTTCATATGTTTATTGGTAATTTGCATATTTGTGTGAATTTTCTGTTCATGATTTTTGCCAATTTTTCTTTTGAGATCTTATTTTTAGCACTGATTTACAAGATAACTCTACAAATTAAGAAGTGGAGTCATTGGATAGATTTCAAGTGCATTTTCATAGATTTTCTTTTAACTTTGTTTATATTATTTTATCCTATACAAGTATTTTCTCTTTTTTTCAGTCAAATCTACCATTATTTTGTGATTTCTTCCATGATTTTTATTCTTTGGAAGGCATTCTCAATCTCACGATCAGATATTTCTCTTCTACTTCTATGGTTTCATCTCTTTTACTTTCACTTTCAATTCTATATAGAAAAGCTCTGGCATGAGAGAATGGGAAAAAGCTTAACTCTTCCCCCTAAACACCATTTATTGAAAATTTTATGTCAAACATAATTTCAAATGTTAAGTGTAAGTTTAGCCAATTTCTCAGAGCTTTTATAGTAGCTGTTATTGAGAAGCTGATCTTAAATGGTATCCATGTCTGTTTTAATTTGTCATTGTTCATGCGCATCAGTTTTTCATCAGTAAGCCCTTTTTTGATTTTATGGATTAAAAACAAGAACCTTGCCCTATTGTGAATTTTTATTAAGACGCTTTATTGAGGTATAGTTCACATATCATCCAATTTATTGACTTAACTGTATAACTCAGTGGTTTTTAGTATATTTAGAGTTCTGAATCAATTACCTTTATGAAGTATTTTGAATACAGCTTAATTTAAAATGTTACATTGCAATATATAAATTACACACTCAATAGTAAACACACGTCATGCTCCTTGGAATCCTGTTAAATGATTATTTAGAAATTGTGCTTTCACGTTTTACATTTTGTTTTCTCTGTATTTTCTTTTTGGGTAAGTATCACATGGTTCTTTTTTTTTATTCTCTGGGGAATTACTGCGGTTTTTCTTGTCATTTTCCAAGCTTGTAACTCAAGACATAAAATATACTTCCTGGTGGGGATATTCAAACTTACTGTCATTTGAAGAAAAAAATTACCCAACAATCACGATTAAACTTTCATAAGAAAAATATTACATGTTTTATATAATTTGATTAAATATATTTCTTGTAGACCATGTATGAGCCTTGGTAATAAAATGACATAAAAAACATAACCTCTGTCTCAAGAGTAAATAAGATCAAAGTTGCTAAGATTGCTTATATTGATATATTTCACATAGGTGCATAGCTAACACCATTGAATTAAAATAGCATTTAATTGGAAAAGGATCCACGTCAATAACAATATATAGAACTCGAAAGAAATTTTTATTTTTAGGCTAGATGTTTTAATAACTTTACCTATCTTTTAAACTCTGCTATCAACTTTGAAAGGAGTTCTGGTAGCATAGTGCCTAAGGCACTTGACGCTAACCAGAAGGCTGGCGGTTCAAACCCACCAGTCACTCTTTGGAAGGAAAATTGGGCTATCTACTTCCATAGAGATACAACCTTGGAAACCCAAGGTGGAGTTGCTATGAGTCGGGTCCGACTCGACAGCATATAACAGCAACAACAACTTTGAAATAACTCTGTGAGCAATAAATATTTCTAAAAATAATTATTAATAGTTGAAAACGTTCTTCATTTAAAGTGATACAAATTCAAAATGGAGTCTTATCAGTAGTCACCACGCTATTTCCTTCTAGCATCTTAGTGCTTGAAAAACTAGGTACAGCAGTTTGAATTGGCGATTTTGGTGCTCTGAAAAGCTCACTGAATCGGAGCGCACCAAACACAGAGGACTAGAATTGGAGGAAAGCACAGGGAAATAAATTAAAGTAGGTCTACCTGGCAGAAAGCAGACAGGCAGCTGAGAAAGGCCATTGGAGACTTCCCTGGGAGATCGACCAGCAGGCGAGAACAGCCACCTGAGACCTCCATATCAGCATACAAGCCACAACACCAACATACCAGAAACACCGTAAGGATCTACCTTCAGCACCTGATTTTATCGGTAACTTGGGTTGCCTAGGTAGAAACGGGCGCACGCAACACCACTGAAACCCAAGCAGAGAGCTCGTGGTGCTCCAGGAGGGTGAGCTTACTCCCCTCTCAGCTGGTGACTAAATAGTCTTGGGTCAGCTTAACTGGCATGGAGAGGTCTGTGCTTGTCTTTATCACTAATGTCGGGACCACAGATTACTAGCAGGCACTTTCTCGACTCCAGTGCAGCTGAAACCGCACACATCTTTGGCATTGCAGGTGGGTGGACTAACAGACAAACTACTGAGCTGATAATGGTCTGGGTGGGTTGGGCTGGCGCTAGGGGCAAGGAAGGTGGGGAGTGAAACATTTCCCTTGAATGGCTTTTTGGAGCCGAGGGGCCACAGGAGTGGGGTCTTTGCATGTGTCTGAGCCTGGCAGAAAGTGGTAACACCCAAACAACAGGAATCTTTCCTGAAATGGAGCAGTGGGCTTCTAAGTAACAGTATAACATCATCATTAGCAGCCCACTTAAAGCCCTAGGAACCAACCCTAGCAACAGCAAACTTTCCTTCTTCTGCTCCCACCTTCTCCGCCAATAACTTCACTCATTCAATAGAAGAAACCATATTCAGCCGACATAAAACCTCCTGGTTTGAACTCTAAACCCTCTTTATGACAAACAGAAACCCATATCCACATTCCACACAGTGAGTCCACCATCACAGAGAAAACTGCAGAGCGACCCAGCATACCTGAATCAATAATAAAATAAAATACACCAGCTTCACCCTTTCAAAATATTAAACCATAAAACCAAGACAAAACAAATCAACACGTAACCAGCAGTTAGAGACAACCTCAAAATATCTAGGAAACAACAGGCAATCTCAGATCAAACAAAATGACAAGACATTAGAAGCAAACCAAAACAAAGCTCTCATACATGGAGGAAGAGGAGGCAATAGAATTAATCTGAGAAGGAATTCAGAAGATAGGTTTATAGAGCTATACAGGAGCCTAAGAAAACCCCAAACAGAAACAAGGAGAACACAGTTCCCTGGAGGAACTCAGGAAAATCATTGAGGAACAGCTTATTAAGATTAATTCACAGGAGGACTTCTGGTAAGATGGCGGAATAGAGAGAAAGACTGCACAGACCCTCTTCAACAAAAAAAGGGGGAACCAATTAACACA